AGGTTTTGTGCTTGTTGACATTCACTACCACTATAGCAAGGGATTAATGTCCCCTTTGAGACTCGAACTTGCATCACCAATGCACAAATACCAAGGACTAGATTATATGACACCGTTGTAGGTAAACTTTGTGGCTTTAAATCACATACATATCACTATGTCATCTTTTTTATAACAACTTTCTTTACTCTCTCTCTCTTTCTCCCTCTGTCTGTTAGTAAATTGTTTAATCAATGATTTGTAGTTGCCGTTGGCAACTACTGCTACTAACTATGCGTACACATATACATAGACTAAAAGTGACTTATTGACCGATCATCAACATGTTCTTGTTGTTATTGCTGTTGTTGTTTACAATAGACACTACTGTCTGTTGCGGCCACATTTGTTATTGTTATTATTATTATTATTATTATAATTCAGGCTTTGCCGCTTAACGTAAACAGGATGTGAATCCTTTTTGTTAGGTAATTATTTTTGTGTGTGTGAGTGTGTGTGGGTGGGTGAGTGTGGGTGTTAGTTTTCATTTTTGGCAGGGAATCTCAGTGCACTTCACTTAGTGCTTGGCACTAAGGTGTATTTACACCTGTCTCTCTCTCTCTATCTAACAGATTTACAAAATATAAAGCGGTTTACAATGTTGGAGATTGATGTGGTGGTTTGGTTTGTGGGAGTGTGCGTGCGTGTGTGTGTGCGGGTTTAAAATAGTTCCGCGTTTGTTTTAAGTTAAACAGTAACAGACAGTGTTGGATTTGTAAGTTATCCTGGTGGTGGTTGTACATAGCTTATATTTCTTCTTCTTTTTACTTCAATATTCCAGAAATATTCCTGGTTTTGTGCAAATTGGAATAAGCCAAATGCTCTTTTGGTTATACATACACGACGATGGATGACGAATACTGCTAGACAGTTGCATTCATTTATCGCCTTAATTAGTTATGATGCAATGTAACAATATTTCTGGTGGAGGGCTAAGTAGTATTCAGAAGGAGGTGTATTCTGATTATGTCATATGTGTACATTTATTTAATATATACTACACGTGTTCACTATTGTTCCCACTACAAAATTCTATCTACACAGATGGTATTCAGTTATTAGATTCTTAAAACAATCGAAAGAAAAACTGGAAATCCGTATGCGTTTCTACATTGATTGTTGGTCACCAGGGAGTAACCACCAGTGTTATGCGTCTAGTCCTTAGGATGTTTGCTTGGCACAGACTGAATTCTATAACACAGTCAAGTTTGGAATGTGCTCACCATGCTAGGTGACTCGCCATTACGGTGCGCTCTAAATATTGATTGATATTAGACGGTTGAAGGCAATCGGGAGGAAGCCCTACGTTTCATGTTTGTTGACACTCATCAGTCAGCGAGGCGTATCTGCAACCTTGAAGGAGATTTGAACCCATGTCACCCAGTGCTGCAGTCATAGACGTTACCACTGAGCTATTCGGGCTCGCGATTGACCTCCTGTAGGACTATAATGGATACATTGGTTGGACACTAGTTAGTAACTAGTGTAATGTGTCCAGTCCTTTATTTGGTGCAGAGTGAATTCGCTCAGTCAATCGTAACGTCTCTGACTGCAGCACTGTTTGACGCGGGTTCGAATCTTAGAAGGGACATGAATTCCTTCACGGTTAAAGATACATCTTGCTGACAAGCGCTAACTAGCACAAAACCTAGGTCCAAGGCTTCCTGTGGCCGATCCCCTTCAACCATCTAATATCAACAATTCACAGTGCAGTGCATCATCATGGCAAGCCACCTAACCTGGTGGCTACACTGGGAGAGAATTCGGTCTGCAGTAAAGAAAGGACTAGACACACTAAACCAGTGTCCAATCAAAACATTTTTATGGCATTAGAAATTTTGAAATTCAGAAATAAGCACTGCTGAAAATAAAGTTGAAACTAAGTGCTTAGGAAGAATGGAATGGACAAGGGCTTTTATCAGTTAAACAACCATTTAACTTTTTTGGTGGGAATAGTGGAATCTAAGTCGAAAATATAAAATTAAGCCATATCAATGTGGACATGAATAGATTGACACTAGCACATAAGCCACAGTTGAAAATGATGATTGAAAGCAGAAACTGAGTACGACTGATTAACCTCAAGTTATATCCAGCCACGAATCGACATCAATTTATGGAATCATTGAAAGCCAAAGAGCACTAGACAGCTCTGTTTAGTCCCAGTTTGGGACTCTTCAAAAATGTACACGACCCTCAACCCTACACCAAGGATATAGAGTCCATGACCCTAAGATTACGAGTATGAAGACCATTGAGCTAGACTAATGGGGTGGACTCCGGTGACGCATAAATTCGAACTTCTGTCAATTCGTGCTATATCGTCATCACCAATCAACAATGCCGCTACTGATAAACACCGCCTCTTCACACAATCTCCAAGGTGTGCCTTACCAGAGATAACTTCTCATCATAACTTCAACACATGCATCACTGAAGGACCCGAAACTAGAGTTCTGATAATAATTGTTAATATTTAAACATTGACACGCTGTGAAAGGCGAAATATTCCTTTCCTCGGTTAACCTCTTCTCAATATACGCTTGGCAAGAATCTCTTATGACAGTGGGATTTTTGAGGAGTACGCAATTACTTTCAGTGGCTGTCTGTCTCTGTCTGGATTCAACACAGAACTTGGCACCGAAGTGCAGCAGTTAGAGTTGCCACGTTCCAAATACCACACAAAGGTAGACAAGAAGATGAGTGAAGAGAATCAATAGAGTTTTGACAAGTATAAGAGTGAAACAGAATGAATATTGGTAGAAAGGAATATGAAAGATCACAGAGACTGGATACATCTGCGTAAGCCATTGACAACGATTTTGAGCCATGTCACTTATTGTCTCCAGCCATTGATTCTTAGAGTCCCGAGGGCCCCAACCCGGAAGTCTGCATCTCCCTACCTGACTCAGCCTAATTGTCAAGGATTTCATGGATTGATTGATGCCATGTTTTTGTTTGGCCACCGCTTACTCTTTTCCAACCCACAACACCTATATCACCTAGCAATGCCCGTTCGTCGCGGGAGGCGATGGCTAGGCATGCGCAGCACCTGACCTAGCCATCTCAATCTATGTAACTTTATAGCCTCGTCGATTGATTTCCCCTCTTTACCCAACACTCTACGCCTGACGTCAACATTACTTACCTTATTATACCACCTAACGTGAGAAAACGATCGTAGACATCTATGATCAAAAACAGTCAACCTTTTCATGTCTTCAACTCGTATTGGCCATGTTTCAGAGTCATAGAGAAGGACGGAGCGAAGTGCTGAGCAGTACACACGTCCCTCGGTTGATAGCCGGATGTCACGCCTACGCCAGAGATGGCGTAAGTTGTTAGCGAAAGCAGCTCGAGCTTTTTGGTTCCGTGCTGAGATTTCGTCACCAATCAATCCATCGGTGCTGATACAACTTCCCAAATAGGTGAAGTGGTCAACATGTTCTATCACTAAGCTAGGAGTTGACGTAGTCCAGTCCTGTAGCAGCATCTTACATTTTACAGGGGCGAATCGCATGCCAAACATACGAAGATTGCTGCTCAAGGTGTTCAGAAGACTCTGCATTTTGTCAGCATCCTCCTCTAATTTCAGTGGCTAGTTAAGTGCAGTCAAAAAGAGAAGCTGATATCAGCATCATAGTAATTGACTGGTGGTCTGCTTAAAACTTAGGTCACCAAGACCCTCCTCCATCATCATAGTATTGCATATAATTTCTCTTGCTCACATGCATTGTTTTAATCAATCAAAATATAACCTCTAATGGTACACTATTTACTTTCGCGAGTATGTATCCCAGTATACATGAGATAAGTGTTCCCCAGTTATGTATGCCCTTAGGTCTCAAAGTGTATTTGTGCACTTATTTTTAGAAAAAAATTGACTTTCAACAGAATGCCGTGTGTATTTCTCGAAGCAGACAAAGAAGTAATATCATAAGGGATTGGTTGACGCTTCAGGTCAAACTGCATTGTGTCAAGAAATCTATTGTCAATTACTATTTCCCTGGAAGATCTTAGTCAAAGAAGAACTGCTATGCAATAAATACCGCTGGAAATTCTGTACATTCTGTATAAACACTGCTCAAAATAAGGCTATTATTACTATTATAATTATTAAAATAATTCCATTTAAAAAGTTACAAAAACCAGTGACTTTCTTGATCACTTCCAATTTGTTACATTTTCGATCAATGCAGACACACACACACACGCACACATCAGGGGATCAATGGAAGGGAAAAAAATGGAAAACTACGTGATCCTTAAGAGAGATCGCATTCACACCCCTGAAGGCTCAACAACATTATTGTGCTTCAGGATTTTAGTGAATGTAATATTCCCACTTCTCACATTATTTCAAAAATTTAAACTAAGTTCCTAAGAAATTGTAATCAACTATAGAAAAATAAAACAAAAACACTTAATTTCTTTGAAATTTCATTTTTGATTAAAGCTTGATTCCATACCGTATTTTTCATACAAGTATGGAATTTTCAGCATGTCATATCGGTAGCCCAAATTTTGCAGGCCGACCATTGATATCATGTGTGCGTCGGCAGGGGATCGAACCCCGGACCATGTGTGCATGGTCGGCGAGAGTCCTAACCGCTGTGCCACCGACGCACAAATAAACTGTGTACGGGCATTTGCTTCGGGGAGCAAAAATTGACCTAAAATAAGACGGATACCAGTAAGGACATGAAACTGCGTGACTATGCATAGCATACTACTGACAAATTATTGTCAGCAGTCATAGACTCTTCTCACCAGGCAGAATAGGTTAACACACACATCGAAGAAACTAATGTTGTGATGAAAACATTGAACACCCCCCCCCCGCTGTACTGCTTCTGAATTCAGCTGAAAATGTAGGTGATCACACACACCAGTAAAACAATATTACAGACACAGTTATAAGACAAATAGTAAGAGGAATGGTGAAGAATTATAAAACTTACGTGATTTCCGAAGCCAGAAGATCTGACAGCTGGTGAAGAATCTGCATCATTATGCGTAATATTACTACTACTAGTACCACTAGCACAGTTAGTAGGGGCTGCCATAGTAGTTGTAATATCTGCGTTCATAGGATTGTCCCGAGAGGGTCCATTGCCAGTTAGTCTGGATAATGATACAGCATATTCATTCGGCTTTTGACCACCTATAAAGTAAGTATAGTGAAAAAAAGCATTTTAAACAACGAAACATTCTCCCAAACTTTATGAAACAAAAAAGTAAAAGGATGAAAGGTATTGCTGCAAGTTTATGTACGAGTAATTTTATTTTATTGTATATTATTATTCATGTGCGTCGGTGGCACAGCGGTTAGGACGCTCGCCGACCGTGCACATGGTCCGGGGTTCTATCCCCGGCCGATGCACTTCCTTACCTCGCTAAGCCAGTAATAAGTCTGGTAATGAGGGAAGGTTGGGCATGAGGCTAGCAACCCCATACTGTAAAAATAAATACCACTGCTACAGAAACTTCAGGCCTCTAGCTTGAAGCCCTATGTTCCACTGAGAACGTGAAGGAATGAAAAAAAATTTTATTATTCCCTTGAGCTCCGCGAGTGGAACGAAAAAACTTCAACAACACATATCTCAATTTCTTTCTTCTCAGCTGCTTCTGTGACTGTCCATGAGCTTTCATCTCCTCTATGGTCACATCCTCAGGAGCCCAACTTGTTCTTTACCAATCGGACCCCATTCAACACCTGGTGAGTGAAGTCACTAAATAGTCTTGAGTAATTTCAAGCAGTATGAATTAACATATGTGACCATGATTTATACTTTTTTCTCAAACCCACATATCATTCTGAAATAAATGTAAAGATTTCTAATCTGTCCGTCTGTTTTCGACATAGAACTTTGCACCGATTTGTGGCAGTTCAAGTCGCCACACACCCTCCTTGTAGCACACAAAGCAAGAGAAGAAAGTAGGAGAAATGCATATCAGAGACAGTAAACAGAGGTGTGAGACAAAGGAATAGTAATAACGAAGAACAATATAGTTTCATTGGAAATCATAAGTTACAAGGAGTGGATGCATCTGCGCTGTCATTGAGAACGACTTTGAGCCATATCACCAATTGTTTCCAACCATTGGTTGTTACCGTCCTGAGGACCCGAACCAGGAAGTCTACACCTTCCTACGTGGCTAGCTTAAAATAACTGTTGTGGATTTCATTGACTGATGAAATCATGTTTTGGTTTGACCGCCGCTAGTTCTTTTCCAGCCTGACCCTATATCAGCTAACATTTCCCATTGTCGAGGAAGGCGATGACTAGGCATTGATGCGTAACACATGTCCTAACCATCTCAGTCGATGTAATTTCACAGCCATGTCGATTGATTTCCCCTCCTTACCTAGCACTCGATGCCTAACCTCAATATTGCTCACCTCATTATACAGCTTCACACGGGAGATAGAACACAGGCGCGTATGATCAAAGACAACTAATCATCTCAATCAATCAGTAGTGCGTATAGGTTTATACAAACATTGATGTAATGTTAGGTTGGAGAAAATGTGCGTACAAAGTTTTCTAGAATGACATATGCTGTGAAATATTAGCACGAGAGTAGCTTTCATTTTATTTTCCAAATGATAAGAATATTACAGGTTTGATCACTGGTTAATATCAGTTAGAAAACCATTGACAACCAGCAGAGAGCAATTAATGGACAGCAGTTTCATCCCAGCTTGGGACTCTTCATCAGCACACGCATCCAACGGCTTTCGAGTGATAGTGAAGCGACAAGTAAATGATCATAAAAACAAGTAAACTCTATACAATTCTTTTTGTGACGGAAATGAACATTTAGAAATAAATATACCGTTCAACAGACTACATGTATGCTTCTTGAAACGCATACATTTATTATGTTTCATGACTTCGCATATAGCAGAGGTTGATATATTCATGAAGTACATGAAAAAGATGGGAATCAGAATGATATGAGTATGGAGTCCTGGAGGAAACATCTGCTTGTAACTATTCAAATAAGACAAGTTTGTATTTGAAAAAAGAAAGACCCTACTGTTATCAGTTAAAAGTTGTGGAGCGAGATGGGATGTACAATCTTTCCTAATCTGCCGTTTCTTGGAACTTAACTACCTGCAAAGGATTTTTCATGTCTTGCTAAATGAGAGATAGTATTTGTAAGAGGGTTTATAATACTCTCCAGTTGCCCAGGATGAAGTAGGTGTATGGGATTTGGACGCAAGACGCATTCATTGACTAGGGAACCGAGAGTAAAAGCCAGTGGAGCCAGACTGAATCTTTACGGAGTAAGGAGACAGACAACATAGTTGTAAGGCTGGTGATCATTCATAATACACCATTAAAACACACCTTTTCAGCGAGTAGAAAGACATCACCTTCTAATTATTAGATTGTAGAGTAAGCTATGTGTGCGTCGCTGGCACGGCGGTAGAATGTTCGCCAACCACGCCTCATGTGGTTCGGGGTTCGATCCCCAGCCACAGACGTACTCCCTTACCTCGCTAAGCTAGTAAAAAGACTAGTAAAGAGGGCATGAGACTAGCAACCCCATCTCGTTGAAAATAAATACCACTGCTACCGAATCTTCAAAGCTCTATGTCCCACTGGTAACGTATAGAAAAAAGAGAGTAAGTTATGTATGGTGAGACAGTTATTGCTTCCAAAATTTGATGCTAGACAACCGTTTTTTATGGCATAGTAACTCCAGGGTTTTACTGACTTGCTTTTCGACGAGGTTTCGATTACTTCTGGTTTGTTTCAAGTTAGATCACCGGTTGATATTAGTTCGACAAACATGGACAACCTCCGCGTCCTAGTTTGAGACTCTTCAGCACTATGCACACACAGGGACCTTCTGGTTACAAGGCTAGGAAGCTTATAGACCATTCAGCCACTGGAACCCAGTTCAATGACTTACCAATTCCAAATTCTACACATCTGTAATTTCAGCGCGATTATCAGCCAGTGGTTATCGTCGAGTACTTATCCTCACGCCAGATGTTATGGGCCCCCGATGGGTCACGATTCCTCCCTAGAACTCCAAGCAACTTTCAAGGTGACATTGGCTGGTAGTAGCACTGAAATCACGGATTGGTAGAAGTTGGAATTCACAGGCCGTTGAATTAGGTCCAAATGGCTAGATGGTCTATTTCTATTTTGATTATAGCTTGATTTCACACCGTATTTTTCGTACAAGTATGGAGTTTTCAGCATGTGATATCGGTAGCCCAAATTTTGCAGGCCGACCAATTGATATCAGGTGTGTCTCGGCAGGGGATCGAACCCCGGACCATATGTGCATGGTCGGCGAGCGCCCATACCATTGTACCACCGACGCACATCCTGGATTCCACCGCTAGTCAGCATTCACCAATTAACTTCCAATTACATGCCCAGACATCGTCGAAGCATCTGCACAAGAAGCCGACATTTCAACCTGAAACCGAGCAGTTCGGTCCAATCAATCGACGGGAAATCTACGAGCTCGTCTTGTGATCATTAGGTTCTAGGTTAGAACCCTAGTGGGCAGGTACTGCGGAAGAGTCCCTGAATGTAGGACGAAACGGCTGTCCAGTAATCCCTGGTTTTCAATGGTTCTCTAACTGATATCAATCCGTGACCAAACTTGAAAAAAATCAATTCCCTACAAATTAACTATTGAAAATCACTTCTGATACTTAGTATGTAAATGAAGTGTATTTGTGTAAACTTGTTTGTACATTTATAATTTTAGTTGCTTTAATCATGTTCATACACCCAACAGAGTAAATCAGCAGACAACAAAGTCCATGATTTAGGCGCCTAGTTGAAGTGAAATCGGTTATCTAAGAGTGAGGCATATCTCTCAGCTTGTGTAAATAAATCATCATTCCATAAGCAAGAATTGTTTCTGCGTTTAAATGAATTTTGTATTTCCAGTTGATGGTGATTATATTAAGCAGAAATATCAAGTCTGTGTTGACATGTTTCTTCCAAGTACGGAAGCTTCTACCATATTTTAGAATATTTAGTAGTTGGCGACTAGCAGTGGAGTCCAACACCAGGATGCATATATCTCATCCTATTTGAGATCTGGTATCCCCGGTGGATGAGACTCGAACGCCGAACCTAACACGTTTCAAACGTGAAAAGCGTTATCCACTAGGCTACATTGGGTCACGATAGCTATCTACCTCTTGTGAAACATGTTTGTTATTATTCGTTTAAGATAATTTTGTATTTCCCATTGTTTGAATATATATTGGACTGAAATGTTGGGTCGTTTAAAACGATGGGTGGCGATGGGTTCGAGTCTCACTGGGAACACCATCATTCACCCATTGCGGATGGTAGGTATATTCAGATGAAGAGACGAAATGCATATCCCAGATCGCACTGCTAGTCATCACCATCCAAGTAACAAATGTTTTGGTTACAGGATTTCATCATGAGCTGACATTGGTTAGAGAACCATTGGAAAAGCTGGGAGTACTGGACAGTTGTTTCGTCCTAGCTTGGGACTCTTCAGCTAACCAATGTCAGCTCATGATGAAATCCTGTAACCAATCAACCAGATCCCTACAAACCAATACTTGAACAAATGTTTTCATTTGCACATGATCAAATAATTTACCAAGATTGGTCAGTTAACACGTCAAAGTAAGCTAAAATGACTGATTGATTTGGTTTCAACATAGAACTATGCATAGAAGTGTATCAGTTCGAGTTACCACTCTCCATGTAGCACAAAAAGGAGGACAAAAGATTCCCAAAAAGCGACTATAAGCAGAAATGAGGGGGGGGGGCGAAAGAATGGTAATATGCGAAAACCATAGGATTTTATTGGATATGGCTGATAACAAGGAGAGTGGATGCATCTTTTTTTCGCAATCGCCAACGATTTTGAGCCATATCACCAATTGTCTCAAGACATTTGTTCTTAGAATCTCAAGGATCCCAACCAGGTAGTCCACACCTCCCGATATGGCTCAAACAAAACTGTTAAAGTCTTCATGGACTAATTCCCTCCTTACCTAACACACTCGACGCCTGACCTCAGTATTACTCATCATGCTATTATATCACCACCTAGTAAAGAAAGGCAGAACGCAGGCGCACCTATGATCAAAGACAGCTAGTCTTTACATATCTTTCACTTTCAATAGCCACGTCTCAC